GGGGGGATTCCCGATGGAGCAAAACGCGCCCGGCGGGGCCGGGGGCGAGGGCGGGGGGGCCGGACCGAGGGCAGAGCCCCCCCTGTCCCCCAGCCCAGCATCTGCTGGTGGCACTGTCGCCAGGGCCCCCCGAGGGGAGCTATTTCCATGCCGTGCCCTCATCCCTCGGGAACCTGCCCCCGCCGGGCTCCCAAACAAGGGGCTGGGGTTGGGGGCACCGGCAGCACGAGGTGTCCCCGGGAGGCCAGCGGGGCGTCCCCAGGGCCGTGACGGGAGCAGGTGGCTCCGCGGAGGTGACAATCCCCTCCCCGGGTCGCTTGTGCCGCCCGTGGCACCTCGGGGACAAATGACCTGCCGGGCGGCTCCTTGTATGGCCGGGACGGGGGGGCACCGGACGGGACGGGAATAGCCCGGGGCGAAGGGGCTGAGCCCGGGAAACGTCGGGATGCCCCCCGGCTGCCGGGGGTCTGGGGGTGCCGGGGGGTCTGGGGGTGCCGCCGGCACGGGGGGCTCGGCAGTGCCGGGGATGGCCCTGGAGGGGCGGCCCGGGGTGTCCCCAGGGCTGGGGACGTTTGTCCTCGTGGCGGGGCCCTCCCGCGGCTCTCGGGTGGTTTGGGGGTACGAGAGGCCCCGGGCACGGTCAGGGCTGTGCCCCAAATCCATCCCAAATCCGGGGGGGGACGGGGCTGCGACGGGCCGGGGCAGCCCCGCAAGGTCACCCGGTCAGTCCGGGAATGTCACCGACACCCGGGCCCGGCCCGGCCCGGCCCCAGCGCCACCGGGAATGTCACCCAAGCACCGGGAATGTGAGACACAGACCGGGAATGTCACACACGGGCTCGCTTGGCACCGCGTGTGCTCCCGGCCACGGGGACAGAGGGACACGGGGCTGGGTGTCCCCTGCTCTGTCCCCAACAGGGACACGGGGCTCCCAGTACCACGGCTCCCAGTCCTCCCAGTACCACGGCTCCCAGTCCTCCCAGTGCCTCAGCTGGGGCTCCATCCCTGCTCCCTGCACAGCCGGGGGCTGTGGGGGGCGGCTCTTGGGGTCTGGGGGGGCTCTTGGGGCCCGGGGGGACCGTCGGGGTCTGTCCCCGCCCCGGCGCCGCTGTCACGCAGCCCCAGCCCCGCGGGGACCCCCGGGCTGGTGGCCCCATCTGGAGCCGGGGGGTGTCCCACTCTGGTGACAGCGGTGAGAGCAGAGACCCCCGGGGCCGCCCCAGGGTCACCTCAGGCTGATGAGTTAATGAGTTAATGAGTTAATTGGGGACAGCAGCTGCCAAGAGCCCCCTGGAGCATCCAGTGCCACCATTAACCCAGGGCCACCACATGTCCCCAAGTGCCACATCCACAGGGTGTTAAATCCCCCCGGGGATGGGGACTCCCCCCTGCCCTGGGCAGCTGTGCCAGGGTTGCACAGCCCTTTCCAGGGGGAATTTCCCCAATATCCAACCTGACCCTCCCCTGGCACAGCTGGAGGCCGTTCCCTCTCCTCCTGTCCCTTGTTCCCTGGGAGCAGAGCCCGACCCCCCCCGGCTCCCCCCTCCTGTCAGGGGGTTGCAGAGCCAGAAGGTCCCCCCTGAGCCTCCTTTTCTCCAGGCTGAGCCCCCCCAGCTCCCTCAGCTGCTCCAGCTGCTCCAGCCCCTTCCCAGCTCCTGCCCTGGACTCTCTCCAGCCCTTCAGTGTCCCTTCCCTCCTCCATTCCTGCCCCTCCGAGCCACCCTCCTGTTCCAGCAGCCCCGGGGCTCCTCCCTGTGCTCAGCCCCTCGTGGAGCCCACCCCCGTCTCCCCAGGCCTCGCCCCCTTCCCCACTGCCTGAACGGAGCTTTAAACGTCCCTCCCGAGATTTTTGGGAGCTCAGCGTCCCGAGGGCAGCAGGAGACGGGGGAGGGCAGAGCTGGGTCTGCAGGGGGGGCGTGCAGGGACTGCAGAGGGGCTGCAGGAGGGACATGTCCCATGTCCCCTGATCCCCCTGGGACGTGGCCCAGGGAACGTGGATCCAACGGCTCCCAGGGAGCACAGGCTCCTCTCCTGGGAAGCCCGGAATGTGGATAAGGAGGAAATGGTGGGATCGGGGCAGGTGTCATCCCACACTCAGCTCAAGGAGCCAGGGGGGATCCAGAGCTCCTGCACCCCCCCCCCCCCCCAGCTGTCCCGGGGGTCCCCCAGGGATGCACCTGCCATTCCAGGTGCTGGGATGGCCGGAGCACACCTGGGGGACTTGTGGTGGCAAAGCTCCCAAATTCATGGAGCTGTGACACAACCTCTGTCTGGGCTCTGCTCCCACCCCTCCACCCCCAGCCCGGGCTCCCACCCCTTTTTTGGGATAGGACACACCTTTCCTACAGGTGTAATCCCAAATCCCTCGCCCAGGACGTTTCAGGAGCTGCCCAAGTCCTTCACTGGTGCTGCATCAGCCCCATCCCGACTCCAGAACCCACATCCAGCCCCATCCCGACTCCAGAACCCACATCCAGACCCATCCCAGCTCCAGGATTCACATCCAGCCCCATCCCAACTCCAGAACCCACATCCAGCCCCATCCTGACTCCAGAACCCACATCCAGCCCCATCCTGACTCCAGGACTCACATCCCGCTCCTCAGCTTTGACTGTCTTGGCCTGGGGGTTTGGGAATCACCTGGAAGTGGATCCCAGATCCCAAAAATCCCCCCTTCTCACTTTCTGGCTGCACCCCCACCTCCCAGCTCCCCCAGATCCCTGGGGGATACAGCGGGATTTGGGGGCAGCCCCAGGGCTGGGGCAGAGCTGAGCCCTCGGGGGTCTCCTGGAGCTGTTCTGGCAGCAGCTTTGGGATTTGCTCTCCTGTCCAGCTCTTTTGGGACCTTGGTTTGACCCAGCACATCCCAGGACCCAAACGGGTCCTGCGGGGGCCCAACCCCATCCCGGCATCCCTGGGATCCTGTGGGACACCAGGACACCTGGAACAGCTCAGGGATCCCGTGGGACACCAGGACACCTGGAACAGCTCAGGTTGCACAGGCAGCCCCAGTATTGGCATTCCCAAGGGGCTCAGAGCTCCAACGGTCCCATTTCCCAGAGCCTCACCCCAAAGGCTGCTCCCAAAAGTGGCGAAACAGCCACAATTCCTGGAATTTGGTGAGAATTGGATTCTGAAGTGTAGGGAACACGGGTTCCCGCTCCAGAAGGATCCTTCCTGCCCCTCGCTGGGCGTGGGGGGAGTGAGGAATGTCTGATGTTTGCACCGCTTTGGATATTTTCAGGAATTAATGTGGAAGTTTTAAAGGTGTTTGGCGCCTGCTTTGGGGATTTTCAGGAATTAACGTGGAAGTTTTAGAGGTGTTTTCTGTCTCCTTGGAGCCTGTGACTCCCAAGGTGCTCTGTGGGACAGAGCATGAGGGAATCTGGAGGGACAGGAGCTCCTGAGGGGGCAGAGGGGTTTGGTCCAGGTCAGGTGCAGCCCCACAGGCTGTGGAAAGGCTGGATTTGGGACCCCTGACTCAGTGTATCCCCAGGAGAACAACTCCTTGGAGGTACCAGGTGCTCCTGCTGCTGCTCCAGAGCAAATCCCAGCCTGGTTTGGGTGGGGAGGGACCTTGAATCCCACCCAGTGCCACAGGCAGGGACACCTTCCACTATCCCAGGTTGCTCCCAGCCCCGTCCAGCGTGGCCTGGGACGCTCCCAGGGATGGGCAGGTCCATCCCAAGCACCTCACCAGTCCCGGGCTGGTTTTCCCTGGAAAAACTGGGGCTCCCCCTGTGTCTCCCGAAGCCCAGGACACCCCGAAGGGGATCCACGTGTGGGTGAGGCTGGAGAAGCACCAGGTGGGAACCACCTGAGAGGAACATTCCAGAAGCTGCCGGTGGTGCCGAGGGGGGCTCAGGGGATGGGAAAGAGCTGGGTCCCTCCCGCCCCTGGTTCCCAGGCAGTGCCACTGCTGTGCCAGCCGTGGGATCCGCTCCCTGGAGTGCAGCAGGCCAGCAATGACACTGGAGACAGGCCCGGAGCCTTTATTTCAGAGCTGGAACCCCACAGATCAACCCCCAGCTACCAAACCTTCCACGATTCATCCATTTCAGCGAGCAAAGGAACAAGTGGTCATCGGCCACAAGTTACACAGTTCTCTCATTAATTAGTGTTCCATCTGCTGTCAGTCAACGACCCTCTCGCTCCCCGTGGTAATTAGTGCTGGGCTCAATCTTCCCCTTCTTTTGGGTTTGTGGGTTTTTGGTTGGGGGTCAGGATCTGCCCCTGCCAGAATTACCTTCTTTACCCTTTTGGAGCTGATTTCAGCACAACTGCTGAGTTCTTTAATAATTTCTTCCTGATCTTGGGAGTTCTGCCAGATGTCCCATAAACCAAATTCTTTGCATCCTCTATCCATGAGCATCCTTTTTCCCCCCAAGCCTTGTTAACCTCCCCCGAGATCCAAGATCACCAAGCCCTAAACTTTAACAAGTAATTTGTATTTTTAACACCTGGGCATCCCTTAGAGCTTGTTGGCTGCTCTGCGATTCACGGATTAAATCTCCCTTCTTGTTCATTAGGCTTGAAAGTTACAAAGACCGTCTTTTCTTAAGAAGACTTTTACGCATTCCACGTTTTGCAGCCATCAGGCAGGACCCGGTTTCGTGACCCCCGGTCTCGTTCCCTGTAACCGTCGGGGCAAATTGTTCTTATTTTTGACTCTTGAGATGTCGCCATCGGGACCGCGAGCAGCAGGATGAGCGACTGAGGAGATAAAAACGCGGAGGGCTTTAGGAATTACTGCAGCGGGACCGCGAAAGAGCGGCAATAGGCAATAAAATCGCTCTAACACAGCGGCCGCGGCCGCCCCACTGAGGGGCCGCTGCCGCCCGCGCCGCTTATATAGGGCGGGCCGGCTCCCAGCGTGCCCCGCGGCGAGAGTAGCCCCGCCCCTCTGCGCACGGCGCGCACGCGCAGTCCCTCCCGCTGAAGCCGGGGGGGCGGGGCGCGCCCCCTCCGCGCCGCGCGCAGCCGCAGTACGCAGAGCGCGCCGTGTCCCTCCGCGCGCCGCCCCCGGCGCCGCTCCCGGCGCCTTTAACGCCCTTCCCGCCGCTCTTTCCCGGTGTCCCGGCGGCGGGGGACACGGAGCGAGCCGCGGCTGCGCCCGGGACGAGGTAGGAGGCGGGCGCCGGCTGCCCCCCCACCCCCCGGCGCGGCGGGGCCGGAGGGGGACGCGCGTAATGGCGGCCGGGGCGGGGGGGGGCGAGGGGCCCTCACGGGGGACCCCGGGCGGGGGGGGTTATCCTTCGTCTTTTATCCTCTATCCGTCAACTTTTATCCTTCATCCCTCAGCCTTTATCTTCATCCCTTATCCTTTCCGTCCATCCCTCATCTCCATCCCTGAGGGATGATCCCCCGGCAGGCGGATAAACGCTCCCTGTGCCCCGCCAGGGACCCGCCGCCTCTCACACCCGCCGCGGGCTTCGCTCTCGCTTTTTTTACCTTAAAATCTCGCATTCACGCGTTTTTAAGGCTCCCCTGTCCCTCATTTCGCCCCCCGTCCCCGGGTGTTCCCCGCACGCCCCGTGCCTCGCTCAGACCCCAGCCCAGCCCATCACGGGCCTCCCGGGCCCCGAATTCTCCGGTTGTTCTCAGACAAAATTCTCCGGTTGTCTCCAAACAAAGCGGTCTGGCCGCTGGCAATTGCTGTTCGGGTTGAACTCGGCCGCTGCTGGAGCAACACCCGGCTCGGGTCGGGTTTTGCCCCCCGAGCGCGCCTCGCGCTCCTGCTTTGGGGTTAAAATCGGGGCTTTTCGCCCTTTTGCGCTTTGGGACGGTGACGGTCGAGCCGAATTTCGGGTGTTACAACCACGAACAACCAAAAATAATCCAAAGAGGAATTGAATTCTTTACCCCCCCAGGCCGAGTGTTGTGTCTGTCTCATCACGTGCCTTGCAGGAGCCTCCTCGATTGGGGGATTTAACCTTTTTTTTTTTTTTTTCCCCCAATTTAAACTCGTGCTCCTTCGCTGCTTTTACTGTTATTATTAATTTAAGGCAGAAATGTAATATGGCTTGTTGTTTGTTTGTTTGTTTTTTCTAAGTTGCCTTTTTATAGGACTCCTCCTTACCCGATTAAAATCTGTTGTGGTTATTTTATGAACCCCCCCGAGCCCCCAGGAGCCCCAGCCCAGCCGTCCCTCCCGGTCCCCAGCCCCGAGCTGCTGTTTAAATGTTGTTATTTTGGGGTTTGCTGCTCTCCCCGGTGGGGAGGGTGGACCTGACATGAGGTCATTCTTCTCCCTGGGAGCAGCCGCTCTCCAAGGACCGGGAGGATCCTGAGTTTCGTTTCTTTTCCCCGATTTGTGATAATCACAATGTGCCCAAAGGATCCTGAGTTTCGTTTCTTTTCCCCGATTTGTGATAATCACAATGTGCCCAAAGGGTCCCTCTGGCTCCAGGGTGTGGGGCGGAAGGGACGAGCCCGGCCTCCTCTTCCCCAGATTCTGATGGAACTGAGGATGTTTATCCAAGGGTGGGGTTCCCGATGCTGACAAAACCTGCCGGATTCCTTCTCTTCCCTCCTTTTCTTCCCCAAAGTCCTCGGACTTGGGTTTTGGGGCTGAGCTCAGCTGCCTGACAGGGAGCTCGGCCGGGTCTGAGGAACAACACAGGGACCTTTGTTTTCCTTTTGTGCTTCACGTTTGAAGGTAAATAGAACGTTTTCCTATTTCTCTGCCACCGAGTTAAATACCCTGCGTGGAATTTGGCCTTTTCTCAGGGAGTTTTAGGCAGAAATATTGGTGTTTGCTGTGTCTGTGAGGCTTTTGTGTCCACACAGAGCTGGTGCTTGTGTATAAACATGTTTATGAAACAGGGCAGGGTTTGTGCTGCTCAAAAGTCTGACGTGGAAAGGGAAATTTGAAGATGTCCGGTGGATTCCTGGTGCCAAAGTGCCCCTTTCTGTGTCCTGGCCCAGGAATTCCTCGCTGGAAGGCTCGTGCAGGTGGTGCTTTGAGTGTTTGTTCTAAACCTGCTGCTGGGCAGGCTGGGCTGGAGCAGTTTTGGGGGTCGTTCAGTGGATCCCGTGGCCGATGGTGGTGTTCCAGCGGCCCTGGCTCTGGCAGGGATGGAGTTCCCTCTTCCTGGGAGCTGTGCTTGGCATCTGTGGCTAAACCAGGCGGGTCTGGGCTGAGCTGAGCTTGGCCAAGGTCAGGCCTTCCCTGCAGCCTGGGCTGGGAAGGGCAGGGCTGGAGCCTGGAGGGGCTGGAGGGATGTTCCAGACCTGGCTGGAGGGATGTTCCACACCTGCAGTGTCCTGCTCCACGGTGAAACCGGGGCAGAGGAGGGAGGGCAGGGGCAGTTTGGCTCCCAGGGTGCTGTCCTGTGCAGTGGGAGGGGAGGAACAAGGGCCTTGGCTTGGCCTTTGTCTCCTTCCCCTGGCACATTGTCCTTATCTTCTCCGGGAGTTCTCTTCCCTAAGTGCTTCCTTTCCCTTCCCGTGCTTTTTTGGGGCCCAACAACCCCTGGTCCATTCCGGGGTCGGTGTTCAGCTGCCTGTTGCTGGGCTCTGCCTGTTGCTGGGCTCTGCCTGTTGCTGGGCTCTGCCTGTTGCTGGGCTCTGCCTGTTGCTGGGCTCTGGAATTCCAGCTCAGTTTTGCTGTTTGCTTTGCCCTGGGAAGCCCAGGATCCCGGGAGCGTGTGGAGCCTGGGCTGGGCTGTGGCCTGTGTTCCTGCCATCCAGGTGCTCCAGCACCATTCCCTGGGGGCAAACAGCCCTCCTGCCTCTCTCCTCCTGCTCCAGGACAGGTCCTGCCCTGCTGCAGACTCCCCTCTGTGTCCTGGTGTGTCCAGAGCATTCCCGGTGCTGGGAGCCGGGAGCCTGGGCTTGGTCTTGGCTCTTGGAATTCAGATCCCAGCTCAGATCCTGCTGGATCTGGAGATGGCAGCAGGAATGTGCCCGGAGGCAGCTCCTGGGTGGCCCAGGTGTGGGAGGATTTGGGAGCAGCTTTCACCTCTGTTATCCTGGGAATCTTTGCCTGAGCGGGCAGGGGATGCTGCTGGAATGACAGAGCACCCGGAGGAGGGGCTGCCCTGGCTCTGCCAAAATCAGGGAGGGCCAGGCTGGATCTGGACCTGGGCTGGGCTCACCTGGGCTGGGCTCACCTGGGCTGGGCTCACCTGGGCTGAGCTCAGCACCCTCAGAGGAGCTGGAGTGTCCCTGGATCGAGGGATACCATGGATGGACAGTGGATAAAGCAGAGCGAGGCACGTCCTGCTGAAGGTGGGTGCCCCTGCAGGGTCTGTGTCTGTGCTGGCAGGGGCAGCACCCTGGTGGCACCTGAGGAAGCTCCCGAGGGACAGTCCCAGAGCTCCGGGTGGTGCCAGCATGGAACACCCCAGTGGGCAGTGCCCGGGATGGCGGGGCCGTCCCGGAGGGTGGATCACTGCTCCAGGTGCAGGAGGATGGCTGGGAATGCCTTGCCACTTCCTGAGCCTGATGGAGGCGTGTCCAGGCTGCCGTGGCAGGAGCTGGATGAGGAATGATCCGACCAGGAGTCCCCCCTGAGGGACCACGGGCTCTGCCAGGGGCTGGGGCAGGTGGAGCCCCTCAGCTCCCACCAGACGCCATCGCTGTGCCGGGAACAGCAAGGAAGAGGAGAATCCAGGTCCCTCCTGAGGCTGGTTTGGCTGTCAGAGGAACACCGAGGAACCTGCAGAAGAGATCTGGTTGTTGGGCTGTGGCGAGGGGAGGTGCCCTGGCCCCATCCCTGGGGATATGGTCAGTCCTGGAGCAGCTCACGGGACAGGCACAGCGGCTCCCCCAGCCTGGGGGGTGCAGGGCCATCTTTATTTATCTGCTCTGCAGTTAGCACAGAGCCAGAAAATTCCGTGCTATTTATAGGGACAAAACAGAAAATTCTCCTTCCAGTGGCTCACCGACTTTCTCCTCTGATAAACCTTCCAGGGGACTCCAGAAATCCACCTCCGCCCTGTCCTGAGGTGCCAGAGCCAGGCTGGCACTGCCCCGGGGGGATGTTGGGGTTGGTGTCCCGGTTGTGCCGGGGCTGGCAGGTGTTTGGTGCTCACAGTGACCATGGACACGGCTCCAGGGGGTCGGGATCCTTCCTTCTGCCCTGCAGCACGCAGAGCTTGGACTCCACGAGGCCCTGGGGGGGCTGGGGACAGGGACAGGGACGGGAGTGGGCGAGGGGGCTGCTGGGCTGGGTGTGAGCAGCCCCTCTGCTCCAGCCCGGCTGGGCACTGGGAGGAACTGGGACACCTCGGCAGTGCCGGGGGTGCTCTCATCCCTCCCTCCCTCCACACCAGCTCCCTGCTCTTCCCCTAAGGATTCCTCCAAGGCCAGGCTGGACGGGGCTCACAGCACCCTGCTCTGGGAATACCAGAGGTGTCCCTGGGTGGGATGGGTGTGCTCTGAGGTCTCTCCCACCCAGACCATCCCATGGCTCCACTGGCACTGCAGCCCCAGCTCGGGGCTCGGTCCCTGCTCTGGGAATGCCGGGGGTGTCCCTGTCCCAGCAGTGCCCCGGCTCAGGCACCCCCCAAACAAAGCTGCTCTGAGAGGAAGGTGAGCCTCCCCCCGACACCCCTGGCCATTGTTTCCTTGCTCTTGGCATTTCCTTAGGCAGCATTTCCTGCTGTCGTTTCCAGCCTTTCCTTCAGAAAGGTCACTCCGGCCCCCCAGCTGACAGTGGCTTCCTTGCACGCTGCTCTGGATCCCTTTCCCCACCCACGGCGTGGGGGAGCCCAGCTCTAGTTCCTTCTCCGTCTGAAGAACCATTTCCGGCGTCTTGGTGGACGGGAAAGGGAACTCCAGCGACAGGGTTTGTCAGGCCCCGAGCCTGGAGGGGAGAGGTGCCCTGCCCTCCCCCCACGTGGCTCCATGGCAGGCACAGAGACGGCACACCGGCGTGGAGAGGAGGCAAGAGAGAGTTTATTGTTGGGAAGGGGTTTATAAGGCTTTTAGGAGGGTCAAAGGGGAACCAATCCCAAGTTCAGGGTCACACAGAAAAAACCATCAGGTAAAGGGGCAACAGCCAATAGGAAGGGGTTAACCAAGGACCAATGGGACACCTCAGGACACCTTTCCCAGGACATTCCTGCATGGGAGATAACAGTTGCTGTGGGGGGTGTTGGGAAGAAGGAAACACCACAAAGAGCCATCCATCCTAAGACATGTTCAAACAAGTTTCTCATCAGACTTAGTGCTACACGCTGCTGCTGTGCAGTGTGTCCTAGGATCCCTCACTGGTCTGGGTGGGAAAGGACCTTAAATCCCATCCAGTGCCCTGGCCAGGCACACCTTCCATAGCCCAGGTTGCTCCAAGCCCATTCCAGCCTGGATCACCCTCCCTGGCCAGGCTGGCGAGGTGTGAGCTGAGGTGTGTTGGGATGAGCTGTGGCAGTGGTTCCAGATCCTGGGGTGGGATCATCCCTGCTCCCAGCACACAGGTGACCCACTGACCTGCTTCACCTGGAGGTGCCTTACTGGTAAAACTTCATCCCGCTGGAATTCTGGTTCGTTCTCTCCTCTGGGAGATTCCCGACCTGTTGGTTGTGTTTAAAATTTGCTCTCCTCAAATATTCGTGGTTGTTCTGGCGATGGGTGGCTTTGATAGTGTTCCCTCTCCAGCTGCTTCCCCCGGGAATGGGCCAGGAGGGATTTTTTTGCCCTCCAGTGCCGAGAGTTCCATAGAAACCCCACACTGAAAGGCAGGAGATGGCTCGGGGTGTTTGTTCGTGTCTGCTTGGAAACTGTCTTGGGCAAACTTGGCCCCACATGCAGCTGCCATTGAAGTCCCATTGAACTTGTGGAGGGAGGAGGGATATTGGGCCAGGAGCCCTGGTTGAGAGGCCGGAGTTTTGGGATTGCTGTCTGGTGGGAATCTGGTTATTATGACTCCCTGTGTGTAACATGACTGATGTTTGTCCTTGGCCTGAGCGGTTTGTACTGAGTCCAAACGAAGTGATTGCTGCTGGAAGGTAACACAGATAGGAACGAGCTCCAGGAACGGAGCTGGAAAACCCTCTCCAGCGCCCGTGTGGGGGTCACTCCCTCCCTGTAGGGTTTGTTCCTCGTGGTCCTCAGGCTTCAGCACTTCAGTCCTTCCAGGTGACGCCTCGGGAGAGTCGCCCCTGCCTGCCGACAGCTGCTGTGTGGAGTCACCTCCCCGAGCCTGGAAGAGCAGCCCTGGGACGGGGCTGGTGGGACGAGAACCTCGGCGCTGCAGGAACCCGGAGCGGCGGGAGCAGCGGGAGCAGCGGGAGCCGGGAACGCTGCCGGGAACACTCCGTGCCCCCCCCGTGTGTCACTGCAGCAGCCAGAGCAGCCCCCGGGCAGTTCTGGGCACCGCAGAGCGACCGGGCCGAGGGAGGGCTCTGGGGGTGCCTCTGCCTGTGCTGTTGTGCCGTTTGGGTTCTCCTGGGCTGGGCCGGGGCAGAGGGAACCTTTTAATCCCAGCAGCTGCTCCTGCAGGGCCGTGTTTTGGGCTGGGGTGAGGATGCTGCTGAGAACACGCTGAGTTTTGGCTGTTGTTGTGCTCGCCCTAAACCGAGGACTCCCGGTGTCCCCTGCTCGGCCAGCGAGGAGCTGCACCAGAACTTTGCCACAATTCTGTTGTTTTACTCTTCTTGTCTCAATCTTCATCCCTGGAAGTGTCCGAAGCCGGGTCGGACGAGGCTTGGAACAGCCTGGTCTGGTGGAAGGTGTCCCTGCCCATGGCAGGGGCTGGAATCAGATGGTCTTTAAGGTCCCTTCCAAACCACTCTGTGATTCTATTTCCAGAACTCTGGTGTTTAATTTTACTCTCCCTCTATTTGTACCTGCTTTTCCTGCCTTACAGGACTGAACTCTCGGTGGTTTGCCCCAAAATAAGACCCAGTTCCCACGGCCATGGTGCTTTTCTGTGTGTCTAGATGATTTTTTTGTTTCTGTACGATTTTACAGCTCTCTGTTTCGAGTCCTTTCGATTTAAGCTCTTGCTTTTAACATCTGGGAAATGGAAATTTTCTATCCACAGAACCCAAGTATTGTCACACCCCGTGAATTCTTGCAGGGTGTAGTTGTTACCCATGAGAGTGTCATGGGAGTGTCCTCCTGGAAGCGGCTCCACAGCGACCTGTCACCGAGTTGTAACCGCTTTGAGTTCTCCATGTAATGGTTTCACTTCCAGTCCATCCCATCCCTCGTCAGCCTTTGGAGAGGGGCTTCACCCTCTGCCTCATTGCTTATACAGTGACCTGTAAACAGCCCCAAACTCTGTTGTGCTGGGGCAGTGAAGTGCCAGGTTTGAACCGGTGCTGTTCCGAGTGTCCTCTCTGGTTGTGTGACCTGTGACGTTGAGCTCATTGGCTGAAGCTCGTTGACTTAATTGCCTGTTCTCTATATTAAGGTTTTACGCAGTGAAAGAAAATGTTTTTGTTTGACGGAATTTTGAGCTCTTTAACTGTCCCGCAGCCCCCGTTTTGTGCCTTGGGTTGCTTTTCTCGCCCGCTGCGAGCAGGTGACCAGACGAACCATCTAATCCTTGTCTTTTAACTTGCAGCTTTGTGTTGTTCTTGGAAAGTTTCGCACCACTTGTGAATTCCCTGAACCTTGGCCTTGCCGGCCCCCTTGTGTTGGGCCCTCCTCCCTTTCAGCTTGCCCAAATTAAGACCCACTTGGCTCTGCAGTCGTGGTCCTCGGTGTCCGGCGGCGGCGCGGCCCCTGCCCACGCTGGGTTCCGCCAGGCATTGCCCAAAGACGCAATGTTTAGCCCCAGAGGAACCTTGCCCCCCCGGCCCAGGGGACCCAACCCCTCGGGCAGCAAGCCTCCGGGATCCTTCGGGGGAGGAGGGGCGGCGGGGCCGCAGAGGAAACCGGCGCCGGGAGCCCCCCAGGCAGCGCCCCAGAGACCCCCGGGCCAGGACTCGCTGCAGTGGACGGGCTCCCAGAGGATCAACGTGCGGGTCACGCTGCACAGGGCGGATCCCAGGAAGGTCAAGGAGAAGAACAGCCTGCACCAGGAGCAGAAGGGAGACCCTCGCCCCAACCGCTGGGACAGCGGCCCGTGCCCGGCCGGGACGGCCGCACCAAAGCCGCCCGCGCCGGTGCCGGTGCTGGAGCAGAACTCGAGCGCCCAGAACCGCTACACGCCCGAGAGCGCCTCCAGCATTTTAGCGAGCTTCGGGCTGTCCAACGAGGACCTGGAGGAGCTCAGCCGCTACCCCGACGACCAGCTGACCCCGGAGAACATGCCGCGGATCCTGCGCGAGATCCGCATCCGCAAGATGGGCCAGCCCGTGCCCGGCCTGCGCGCCCCGGCCCGCGGGGACGAGCGGGGGGCCGAGCCGGGCGGCGCGGCCGTCAAGGGCAAGGTCATCGACTACGGGCACGCCAGCAAGTACGGCTACACCGAGGACCCGCTGGAGGTGTGCCCCTACGGCCCCGAGGGGCTCCCGGAGCCGGCCCTGGAGGCCTGCGCGTACAACGCCGAGGGCCCGGGCGCGGACGGCAGGGAGGACGTGCCGCGGGAGCAGAGCGTGCCGGTGCCCGTCCCGCCGCCCGCCGTGCCCTGCAACCCCGTCTTCCCGGCCGACGACCTGATGAAGCTGCCCGGCTTCCAGGGCGACTCCTCCGGCGCCCCGCCGTTCTTCCCGGCCGAGCCCCCGGCCAAGGTGTCGGGGCTGTGCCCGGCGCCCGCCGCGCTGCCCGTGGTGACGCCCGTGTCGCAGGCGCCGATGCCGCCGGTGCTGCCGCCCATGATGCCGGCCCTGCTGCCCACGCCGCTGGCGCAGCCCCTGCTGCCGCCCGTGATGCCGCCGCTGGTGCAGCCGCCCGTGTCCCAGCACGTCCTGCCGCCCATGACGCCGCCGCCCTTCTCCGCCGGGCTCCTGGCCGCCATCAGCCAGCACGAGCAGAAGCAGCGCGACTCCGGCAGCGGCTCCGGCGCCTCCGGGAGGTCCGGAGGGGGCCACAAAGGCTTCCACTCCGAGGGGCCCATCAAGTCCCCGTTCGGGGTGGTGAAGGCGTCCTGGCTGCCCGTGTTCTCCGACTCCCAGAAGAGCAAGCGCCTGCCCACCCCGTCCATGATGAACGACTACTATGCGACGTCGCCGCGAATATTCCCACATTTGTGTTCTCTGTGTAACCTTGAATGCACTCAGATGAAGGTGAGTGTCTTTCCCAGATTATCCCCTAAGCGTGTGCCCGGCACCTCTCCTGCCGCCCCGTTCCGGGGGCAGGCTGTTTGCCCGGGAGCTCTGGATTGGGGTGCTGGTCGCCAGCCCGAGTGCTGATGTGCTGGAAATGGCTGTAACGCCGTGTTCCTGTCCCAGCTGCACTTCACAGCTGTTTTACACGTTGGTTTTTAATTCTGTTTAATACCACAAATGGTTTCTGCCTTTGCAGCGGGTTTCAAACAACAGCAACACAAACCCTTGGCAGTGGAGGGAAACGTTAACCTCACCAGGGGGACTAAAATCGTGTCGCGGGGTGGGGAGACGTTCATGTGTTCACCCTCCCTCCTCCAAACTCTGCCTTCAAACAAACCAGCCCATTTAGAACCCGAAATCTCATCTTCCAGACGTGCTCTGTGTGAATGTTCCAGAGGCTGGAGCCTGGCTCGGGGGGACACACAAAATGCCTCCATTCATCCGGCCCAGCTTCCAGCTCTGAAGGGAGTCACAGTCCAGCCTTGAAGGGAGAATAAAAGGGAAAACTGGTGGATACTGGGAGATAAAAAACATCCTGGAAGCTGTGGCTTTTCCTGGAAAGCCCAGCGTTCGATATATCAAAAATAAGGGAGGGGGTAACAAAAAACATTGAATAATTCATTAATAATTTTTTCACGTGTTTATATTGCACACAGTATTTGAGCAACGTGGGGGAGAGGCTGTGGGGGGGAGGGACTTTTTGTAATTTGGCAAAATCCCGGAGGTTTTGGGCCCTGTTTCTGCTGTGAATTGAAAAACTGACTGACTGAAGGTGGGTTAGGGAAGAATAAACAGAAATTCCCAAGGTCTTTCCCCCGGGAAGCACTGAGGGCCAGGGAGATGGGCAGCTTGGAAGTGGGAGAGGAAGTCTGATTTAAAATAAAAATGGGTGAAATTGAACAAATCTGGGGGGGGGGGTGTTAATGAAGGGGAAAAGGGAATTAAAAAATCGAAGGGAAAAATAAAGGGAAGAAGAGAAGCACCTTGGGAAAGCGGGGTCTGTGTAAACGGGAATTCTCCAGTCTCTCGCTCACGGGAGCCTGGGAAAATGAAGCAAATGTTGTTACTAAAAATACTTGTTGACAAATTAGCTGGGAGGTTTTGGGGGTGGATTAAAGGTTATGAGTTCTTGTCCTGGTGGCCCTGCAGCACAGGATGTGTTCCCAGACATCCTGATCCGACTGCAGCCCCCCAGCCTCTGCTCCTGTCCCGCCTCCTTTGGCTCCGGCCTGGATTAGCTCCCTCCAGGGCAGTGTTCGGGGTCTGAGCACCTCAGGCCTCACGGGACCGGCCCTGCTGGCACAACAGTGGAGCCAAAGAACCAGAAGAGTCGAAGTTTTACTGCAGAAAAGAGAAGTTTGTTGAAGAAACGCTCACCTTGTGGGTGGCGACGTGCAGCGAAGGAACAGTCCCTGTCTCAGCTGAGACACCTGCAGAGCTGCTCCAGCCCTGGGAACAGCAGCACGAGGACGTGGAGCTGCTGCAGAGAGTCCAGAGGAGGCCCTGGGGCTGGAGCCCCTCTGCTCTGGAGCCAGGCAGCAAAGGGCAGAGTGTGACCCCAGAGCAGCCGAGGACGGTGGAAGGTGCTGAGTGAAGAAAGGCTTCTCTTCACCCCGCTCCTGGAGGTGCTGAGAGTCTGAAGGGCGGGTTCCAGTCATGTTACAGGGGGGGTTCCCAGTTCAGGTTTCTCACAGTGAGGAGCTGCAGTTTTTCAGAGTTGCCTTTAGTCCCCTCTTGGGCTGAAGTCCAGACTCACCTCAGATTCAGCGGGGCTGAAGGAGAAGCTGCGTTGCCCATTGGAAGAGAATTCCAGCACATTCCCTGCCACTGGTTAGTAAAACCAGGGGTTTACACCTGGATGTGAGACATCCTCCCCTCCCTGTCCCTCCAGCCTGGCTCTGCCCTGAACGAGCCAGCACTGGAGCTGAGTGTTCTCTGGACTGAAAATCCCTTCTGTTGTTGCCCAAGTCGTCCTGTTGGCTGTCCCTGCAGCTCTGCCTTCATTATCTCCCCGAATCAAGGAGCTCTGATGAAATCCAAGCTGAAGATGGCCTGGGGGTGTCTGCAGTACCAAAACACAGAGGTTGGAGTGTCAGACAGAAAATGTATTTTCTCGCTCTTCTGTAACGAAGAAACCATCCTGAACCTCCCTCCTGCAGACTCTGATGTGGTTTTAAGGTGGTTTTTGGCTAATACACAGTTCAGAAGTCACAAGTTGTGGTATCTCCCATCTGCATCCGGAGTTGTGCTGGATCTGCCTGTGAAAAATAGATATTTTTTGACTTGGAACCCTTTTGGTAAGATGTGGATGACCCTGGGGTGCAGTGACTGATGGCAGGTCAACAGGCCCCTCACCTGCCCGACACATCGTGGGTTTGGGGTCAGTGGAGGTGCCCAGGGGCTGAAAGGTGGGTTTGGAGCAGCATCCCAAAGGGGACAGATCCCACCTTGTTCCTGCTGTGTAGGGAGGGACGTGGTCAGTGGTGGGTTTGGCAGTGCTGGGGAGGTCGGACTGGATGATCTCAGAGGGCTTTTCCCACCTCAGTGAGTCTGGGGAGGTCCCTGTGGCTCCCTCGGGGTTGTAGGAAAGGGAACCCTCACGCAAGGTCGGCTTTTTGAGCCTTAAAAAGGGGATTGGAGACATAAATTGGTGCTGCTTGACCTGGAAGGTGCTCTCAAAGATTGGTGTCTTCGTGTCCTGCAAGGTTTTCAGGGCAGAGTGTCCAGCTCTGCCCTTGGTCAGGTGGAATGTCACCTCCCCCTTGTCTCCTCTCAGCTGTTCCCAAACCCCTCAGTTTGTGAATATTCCACAGAGCAGCTCCATTCCCCACCTCAGCTCGTGTTGTGCTGGGATAACTAAGTGGGATTTCTCCGCCTCCAAAGACATCCCGTTTGGAATGCAGTGGACCTGCAGAGTTCCCAGCACAAAGGGATCCTGTTTCCTGTGCATTTATCACAAGCTTTGTCCTCCAAACCGGTGCAAAGGGACGGTGGCGGCGTCTTGGACCTGCAATCACGGGAAGTCACGGGGACTCCTTGTTTTCCACGGAGAACTGCACTGGGAATTCCTTTGCTGAGGGGAGTGTGAGACTGGAAACACTTTGCTCCCTCCCCTGCTGTGTCAGGACCGTGCTGGTGGTGATCCCTGAGGCAGAGGAGGGCGGGCTGGGATGAGGGAAGGGGGGCAGTTGGGTTGTGGAGCAGCTGCCGGAGGAGTCTGGATGGAAGTTCTTCCTCTTAGCAGGATGTGATGGGAAGGGATCCTGTCCTGGGGGGGAGGGATCCGTCTCTGGGGACTGAGGGATGCCCAGAGATCCCTGGGAGTGCCCAAGGCCAGGTTGGAAGGGGCTTGGGGCAGCCTGGGCTGGTGGAAGGTGTCCCTGCCCATGGCAGGGGTGGGATGAGATGGACTTTTCCAACCCAGACTTTTCTGGGATTTTGCGATGAGTCTGTAGACAGTGGAATATTCCTGAAGACTGAGAAGGGCCAGGAAGGAGTCGAAGAGGAGCAACATCCCTAAATCCAGACTCCTGTAGCTCTGGGATGCAGGAGGGCTTTGGCACAGCAAAGACTTGGCAAAGAGAAGAACGTTGTCCTTGTCTGCTGGGAGGAGAATCTCCCTTTGTAATCCCAGGAGCGGCATTGGATCAGCAGCTGGAGGCACTTGGAAACCAAATGCCCTCCCTGGGCCTCACTGGCACCGTGTCCCCTTCTCTGGCACCGTGGAAGTGGAATTCTGGGAGCCAAATTCCCTTTAATTTCTACCAGCTCGTTTGATTCAGCCCTTGTGTCCTGGCTAAACTGACTGGAAAAATGGGATCCTTTGAACAGGATTGCTTAGAGATGGCCTGGAATTAGGGAAAACCAGTGTGTGATGGTGAATTGCTGCTCCTGACTCGTGAGCTGGGTGCAGAGTGATCCCAAACAGGTTTGCTGCCTCGTTTGGGGCAGTTGGGCTGAGCAGAACGTTGGGAACACGGTGAGTGGATCCTCCAGTGCCTTTTGAGGTGGGTTGTCGGTGCCTGCAGGAAGCCACACCGAGTCTTGTGCTTCAAATGCAGTTTAGTTGCACTGAGCCCCCGGGTTTCTGGGAGTTTGGGAAGTCCTGGAGCACGTCTGAGCTGGTGGTGTGAGTGCCAGGAACGGCCATTCCCAGCCGGAGCCGGGCCCTTCCCAGGGATCCTTCCCCTCCCACCACGAGCTCTGTGGCAGAGCTTTGGCAGAGGAACAGGAGGGTCTGGTGCTGCCAGAGACACGTTGGAGCATCTTTTGTCTTCCAGACCAGCCTGTGCTTGGGAAAAGTGCCGTGGGATTTCACAGCTGGGAATTATTTACCCAGCCCGGCCTGCCAGCTGTGTTATACAGCTGTTGTTTTATGTTAATTATTACATGTCTGATTGTATTTTATACTCTTAGAGCAGCTGGAGGTTGGTTTTTTAGGAATGTTTAATGATTATCACCGATACATTACACCTTAGAGTTTCAGGCCACGGGATATCCCTTCTCCCCAGCAAACTGGCTCCTTTGCCTCCCAGCTCCCCACACTGGGGACTGTCTGTGCTCACAGTTAAACCTGAGCTTAAGGATTTGTAAGTAATATTAAGATATCTTTCAAGCTCGAGGGCTTGCACTGTCTCTACTGAACCCCTCAGTTTTCCTCAAGATAAAGCCCTTGCTGAGGTTCTTTAATGTAGAATAAAGCAGTGTGTGTGTGAGGAAGGTCCCGAGGCTCTGCAGTGACCTTCAGCCGTGACGTGATCGGGGGTGAATGTTCTGGGGCTCCAGGCGTGGCAAGCCAGGCTGGGCTGGGAATGAGATTTGACTTGGAGATGCCACCTCTGGGGTTCTGTGTTCTCTGGGTTTGCTGGGGGTGCTCATTGGTCTGACAGGCTGTGAAAGCCAATAATGGCTTTATTTCCTTTAATTTGCCCAGTTACTGGATCAGCCTTTCCTGATCCGTGTGGTGACAGCCCCCGGGGTGCTGGGGGGGTTAATTCCTCCATTTATTTCATGGAACACGATGCATTTTGTTCACCTTTGTGTTCTGTGACACCCTGTGGTGATGATGTCTTAGTGCTTTTAATATCCCAAGTGGGAATTTGACCTTAAGATCGTTCCTGAGGTAAAAATGTGGTGGAAGGCAAAACACACCAACCATCACTAGAGACTGTGGGCAGTGCTGACGTGTTCCACTCTGATCCAACCTCTCCGGGTGTCCTTCCCCCCCCAGGACTGGATCCTGCACCAGAACAACCCTTCCCACATCGAGAGCTGCCGCAAGCTCCGCCAGCAGTAAGGGATCTGCTTGGGAATGGCTTGGGAGGGACAATAAATCCCAGCAGCAGTGAGGGATCTGCTTGGGAATGGCTTGGGAGGGACAATAAATCCCAGCAGCAGTGAGGGATCTGCTTGGGAATGGCTTGGGAGGGACAATAAATCCCAGCAGCAGTGAGGGATCTGCTTGGGAATGGCTTGGGAGGGACAATAAATCCCAGCAGCAGTGAGGGATCTGCTTGGGAATGGCTTGGGAGGGACAATAAATCCCAGCAGCAGTGAGGGATCTGCTTGGGAATGGCTTGGGAGGGACAATAAATCCCAGCAGCAGTGAGGGATCTGCTTGGGATCCACTGGGAATGGCTTGGGAGGGACAATAAATCCCAGCAGCAGTGAGGGATCTGCTTGGGAATGGCTTGGGAGGGACAATAAATCCCAGCAGCAGTGAGGGATCTGCTTGGGAATGGCTTGGGAGGGACAATAAATCCCAGCAGGAGTAAGGGATCTGCTTGGGATCCACTGGGAATGGCTTGGGAGGGACAATAAATCCCAGCAGCAGTGAGGGATCTGCTTGGGATCTGCTGGAAGTGGCTTGGGAGGAATAATAAATCCCAGCAGGAATAAGGGATCTGCTTGGGATCCACTGGGAATGGCTTGGGAGGGGAGGGACAATAATTGCCCCCCAGTGCCACCCCTGCCGTGGGCAGGGACACCTTCCCCCAGCCCAGGGCTCCAGCCTGGCACCCTCCCAGGGCTGGGGCAGCCTGGTTTTAGGGTGAAAGGTGGGGTTTGTGCTGCAGGTGGGAAATTTGGCCTTTGCAGTGAGCCCTGTGTTCCCCCGGCAGGTACCCGGAATGGAACCCCGAGGCTCACTCCTCCAGCAGGTAAGTGCCTCTGCTTCTCCACAGTCCCACTTATTGGCTGGAATTAAGGCAGGTCCTTTCCCTGGTTTGCCCCCTGCAGCCTCTCTCACGGGGTTGTAGTTCTGGTGTACAATTAGGGGGGTGGTTCTGGGGGGTTTCTCCTAAGTTTGATAGAATCCCAGACAGGTTGGGCTGGGGGGACCATAAAGCCCATCTCATTCCACCAGGGAATTCCACTAGTCTTGGTCCAGTTAATCCCATTTGCAGCCTGGCCTCCGGAGATCCCTTGGGAATGACATCATCACAGGCTGAAAAAACCCTGGAATTCATCAACTCCCATCTCTGGCCTTTGCTGCCTGTGATGAATTCTTTTTAAAAACACACCCTGTGCATTAATTCCCTTTGAAGCTCGGCAGAGCTGGGCTGTTTTACTGCTTCAGCATTTGTACGTGTTTTGCCTCGTGTACAAATGGGGGGGATAGCACTGGAATTGGCCTTGGATTTTCCTGAGATTTTGGATAGCACTGGAATTGGCCTTGGGTTTTCCTAAGGTTTTGCATTAGTTAGTTTGACATCCTTCCTGGGAAGCTGAGTTCCAAAGCTGGATATGCAGGCCAGGCTGCTTTGCTTTTCTCTCTGTTACAAACCAGGAGAAATAAAGCAAATAAACTTCTGAAACTTCCATGAGGAGAATAATCCCAGAATCATGGAATGGTTTGGGTTGGAAGGGACCTTAAAGCCCACCCAGTGCCACTCCTGCCATGGGCAGGGACACCTTCCCCCAGCTCAGGTTGCTCCAGCCTGGCCTTGGACACTCCCAGGGATCCAGGGGCAGCCACAGCTTCTCTGGGCAACCTGTGCCAGGGCCTCCCCACCCTCCCAGCCAGGAATTCCTTCCCAATATCCCATCTATCCCTGCCCTCTGGCACTGGGAAGCCATTCCCTGTGTGCTGTCCCTCCCTGCCTTGTCCCCAGTCCCTCTCCAGCTCTCCTGGAGCCCCTTCTGGCCCTGCCAGGGGCTCTCAGCTCTCCCTGGAGCCTTCTCTTCTCCAGGGGACCCCCCCAGCTCTCCCAGTGCATTCCTCTTTCCCGCCTCGCCCCAGCTCTCTGTTCCCTCGTTCCCACAGGACTGCTGGGGACAGGAAGGAGAACCAGACCCCGAAGCACCGCTCCAGCTCGTCCAGCCCCAGCCGGCGGCGGTACCGCCCGGGGGGCTCCGGGTACCCCCTGCGGCGCTTCCGCTCCCGCTCCCGCAGCCCCGGGCGCTTCCGCCGGCCCCGCAGCCGCAGCCCCCCCCGGTACCTGCGCCGGCCCAGCCCCCGGCACCGCTCCCGCTCCCCCCAGCGCTCCCGGGGCTCCCTGAGGCCCGGCTCCCGCTCCCACCGCTCCTCCAGCTCCGAGCGCTCCTCCCGCAGGTCCAGCCGCTCCGAAGGTACGATGGGGATGGCATGGCATGGCATGGGATGGGCATGGGGATGCACTGCCAGAGCAGGACCTCCTGGCACTTCGGGAGCACCCAGCTGGTTTCCAGAGGTTTCCCTGGAAAATCCCAACCCGGGCTGCCTTCTCTGTGTGCTTCCAGAGCCTTGAGAGGTTCTGTGGGACAGAGGCCCAGGTGGGAAGCTGTGAAGGGACAGGCAGGTTCCAGGAGCTTTGATGAGGGGAAAACACAAACCCTGGAAGAGGAGGAGGGGGAGAAGCAACGAATAACCAAAATGTGAATTCTCCACAGAAAGCCAGCAGACAGGAAATTATTGTTGTAGCAGCTCGTTAAAGAATAATTAAAACCAACAAAGAGCAAGAGAAGGAGGCAGAATTTAGCAGAAGGCACCAAGATAGTAAGTACTGCTGGGCCTCAGTGTGAGAGAGGAGCAGAGGCTTCAAAAATCCCTCTTCTCCATTCCCTGACATAGAAAATTAAACGATATTTTGCATTTTCTTGTGTCCGGCCCTGGGGATTTTTGTAGATGTTGTTTTGGAGCGTCACATCCTGAGGTTTGTTAATATTTACTGTGAGGGTTCTCTAAGCTCAGGCAGTCTCAGGGTTGGCTCAGGAGTGGGTGGTGAAGCTGAAACTGTAGGAAAGAACAGGAGTGTCTGTAAATTGTGTTTAGGGATAACTCCAACCCCCCTGGTTTCCCTCCCTCACAGACAGAAAGGCAGCACTCGAGGCCGTCATGAAAACCCTGGGGCCGGAGTTCCTGGCAGAGTTCAAGAAGCACAAATCACTTCAGGCAGCTGTGCAGGGATCCTTGGGATCGGGAAGATCCTCGTCCACTCATGGCCCCCCGGGGAAGGTGTCTGGGAGTGTGAAGAAGCCACTGAAGACAAGTGCTGCTCCAAAGGCTCCCAAGAAGGACGGGTCTGCCGCGCCCGGGCCGAGCTCTGCCTCGGCCAAAACGGAGGAATCAGCCCAAAACAAGGAGGGGGAAGAGGATGAGGAAGATGAATCCGCAGGGAGCAGCAAACCTCAGTCTGCTTCTTACAACAGGGTGAGTGAGTTCCTGCGGGTTTTCTCTGCTTTTTAAGGGCTTGGTTGGTGTTTCCCTTCGGGGGTCATTGGCAGGGTGACCCGTTCCATGCGACACTGAGGTCTGCTGGCTGCAGGGAAGGGTGGGATCCTGGAATCATGGAATGGTTTGGGGTGGGAGAGACCTTAAAGCCCATCCAGTCCCACCCCCTGCCACGTGTAGGGACACCTCCCACTGTCCCAGGCTGCTCCAAGCCCCATCCAGCCTGGCCTTGGACACTCCCAGGGATAGAGGCTGAGGCAGAACAGCAAAACAACGAGGCTGTGGCGAAACCCCTGACTTGGGAAGTGTCTGTTTTCCTCCCGTGTCCCGTGTGCAGCTGCTGAGGGAGGACCTGCTGAGCTGCGGGACCGTCCTGCAGATCTCGGACCTGCCCGACGACGGATTTTCGGATCAGGACATCAAAAAGCTGGTGCAGCCCTTCGGCAAAGTGAGCGACCTGATCGTGCTGCGCTCCAGGAACGAGGTGAGCGGGGCAGGCAACCAGCCAGGCAGGGGACACAGGGGGCACGGGGAACCCCAGGGCAACGAGGGACACGGGGGGCACGGGGAACCTCAGGGCAACGAGGGACACGGGGGGCACGGGGAACCTCAGGGCAATGTGGAACACGAGGGGCACGGGGAACCTCAGGGCAACGAGGGACACGGGGAACCTCAGGGCAACGAGGGACACGAGGAGCACGAGGGGCACGGGGAACCTCAGGGCAACATGGAAAATGAGGGGCATGAGGGACATGGGGAACCTCAGGGCAACACGGCACTAATGACAAACTGCTGAGAAGCCTTAAGATCACACGTGTAATCTGGAAATAGCTGGAACTGGGAAACTGATACAAATTCAGACCCTGCATTTTTTCATTTTATTTTATATGTATGTGTATATTTATATATATATGTGTATGATTTATACATATAACTTATAGATTCTTAATATATAATATGTTGCATATTATATATATACTATATGATATAATACATATAATATATAATGTATTATGTTGTATATTATGCTATGTAATAGATATAATATATAATATATCACGTCTTTATCTATTTACATATATTTAATTTTACCTATAAATTATGCATTAGACATTATATATAATATTATAATGTGTTATAGATTACACAGAATGTATACTTTGATATCTATAATGTATATTATGTATAATATTTAATTTTACCTATAAATTATGCATTGTACATTATATATAATATAATACATTATAGATTACATAGAATGTATACTTTGATATCTATAACGTGTAATATTTAATTTTACCTGTCAATTATGCATTAGACATTATATATAATAACATAATACGTTATAGGTTACACAGAATGTGTACTTTAATATCTAAAATGTATGTTATGTATAATATTTAATTTTACCTGTAAATTATGCATTAGACATTATATATAATATTATAATGTGTTATAGATTACATAGAATGTATACTTTGATATCTATAATGTATATTATGTATAATATCTAATTTTACCTATAAATTATGCATTAGACATTATGTATAATAACATAATACATTATAGGTTACATAGGATGTATACTTTGATATCTCTAACGTATATTATGTATAATTATAACTTATTTCTCTGTCATTTTTCAATTACTCTGTTTTATTCCCCTGGGCCGTGGCAGCTGGAGGCACTGGGGTGGTTCTGGTGTCACACTGACATCCAGCCTTGCCCGTCAGATCCCGCCCGGATCGAGCACCCCCAGCTCCAGGAGCACAGGCTGGCTGGGGAGGGATCCCCGGGAGCTGTGCCTTGGGCCTGGGCCCAGCCAGAGCAGGAATTCCCTGTGTTCCAGGCCTACCTGGAGATGAACTACAAGGAGGCCGTGATCGCCGCCGTCAAGTTCGGGGAGACGCAGCCGGTGCTGCTCAACGGGAAGCGCATCCGGATCAGCGTGGCCGAGAAACCCCGGGCACCCCCCGGCCAGGTGGGAGCCTCATATCCTAATCCAGGCTGGAGTTCTGCTCCAGACACCCCGGGCACCCCCCGGCCAGGTGGGAGCTCACACCCCAGGATGGGCTGGAGTTCTGCTCCAGGACCAGATGGGAGCTCACACCCCAAACTGGGCTGGAGTTCTGCTCCAGACACCCCGGGCACCCCCCGGCCAGGTGGGAGCCTCATATCCTAATCCGGGCTGGAGTTCTGCTCCAGACACCCCGGGCACCCCCCGGCCAGGTGGGAGCCTCATATCCTAATCCAGGCTGGAGTTCTGCTCCAGACACCCCGGGCACCCCCCGGCCAGGTGGGAGCTCACACCCCAGGATGGGCTGGAGTTCTGCTCCAGGACCAGATGGGAGCTCACACCCCAAACTGGGCTGGAGTTCTGCTCCAGACACCCCGGGCACCCCCCGGCCAGGTGGGAGCCTCATATCCTAATCCGGGCTGGAGTTCTGCTCCAGACACCCCGGGCACCCCCTGGCCAGGTGGGAGCTCACACCCCAAACTAGGCTGGAGTTCTGCTCCAGGACCAGATGAGATTTCACACCCCAAACTAGGCTGGAGTTCTGCTCCAGGACCAGGTGGGAGCCTCACACCCCAAACTGGGCTGGAATTCTGCTCCAGAAACCCTGGGCACCCCCGGCCAGGTGGGAGCTCACACCCCAATCCAGGCTGGAGTTCTGCTCCAGGACCAGATGGGAGCTCACACCCCAGGATGGGCTGGAGTTCTGCTCCAGACACCCCGGGAAACACAGGGAGGGGGTCAATGGCTTCAGCTGCAGAAACAGCAGCTTAAAAAGTCCATGGGAAGTGCTCTTCTCCATCCCAGAATTCCCCTTCTTTGGTAAAAATGGATATGCACGTGCACTCCCTCGTTCCAGATTTGCCTTTTCCTTGCTTAGATTTGGGATGCAAATGTGTGAATGCTGATGGAGATCTGTGAATAGTAACAGTTTAGCAAGCAGTGAAAGATGCCAGCTGTATTTATATATATGTTAAATACTATTAATTATTAATACTGATTTTAAAAATAATCCTGTTTATATATGTGTGTACGTCTACACAGACAGATTTATAAAAAGTATAGACCATATGTGAAAAATAGCAGCTGGACACTGAAGAGCACAACATATACTTTATATCTACTTAACAACTGTTGATAATTATTAATGATTTTTATGTGGCCACACATATTTACAAATAAAGTCCAAGTGCTGCAGTCGCTGTTTTTCTTTCCATTCCAGGTCAAAAAGACCATTAAAAAACGAGTTCTGACTGTTAAAAAAACTTCAGCAAGTACCAAGTGAGTGTTGCCTTTGCATAAATTAGAGTTAATGCTAGTGGCTGGGAACCAAATGGGCTCATATCTGTTTGTGGGGCTTTTTCCTGGGTTTGAGCTTTTTAAAGCTGTTTTAATATTTGCTAATTGTCTTTAAGACTGATTATTTTTTATTCTCCTAATAGAAAAGTTCCGACCACCAGCACCAAGACCCCCAAACCCCCGACAGGTGAGACTGGGGGGAGGTTGTCTGTTGTCTTTATTAATTGATTTATTGGCTTGATTGATTTATTTTATCGCCTTTCCTGAGCAAGTCTCACTTAGGGAGCAGCCATGATTTCTGTGGGAAATGGTGGTTTTTACAGATTTATTGATTCATTCCTCAGCATCTCTGTGGGGCTGAACTGCTGGGTTAGGTTTTGGGTGGGTTTTTTGGTCCCATCAGTTGAATTGCTGCAGATTAAGCTGATTTTTGTGTGTATATTGTACATATGTGTGTATATTATTGTATGTGTAATATTCTGTTTTATTGTTATATTTTATTTCTATTATACTTTATTATTACAATCCCTTTCCATCTTTTATGGTATTATTATATTATTGCATGTATAATGTGTTTTTCTTCACAGTAATATAATATCAATATTACTATAATATAGTAATATAATATCAATATTACTATAATATTGATAAGCAATATTTGTCTCAACAATTAATTCATTATTAGCATGCATGTGTCATATTGCTGTGCTATTTTACTGTAGTATGTGTATAATATTTGTTGCATGTATAATACTTTATATTGGTTTTAAGTTACATATAATCAGCATTTCTCCTGACACCTGGTTTTGGGGTGTTTTTGCAGGTAAAAAGGAAAAGCTCAAGAAATCAGCAGTGCCAGGGGAACGAAAGGTGAAGAAAACTCCAAGTGCTGCAGGTGAGAGGAGGGAGGACTTTCCCTCTCCCTGGGGGAGCAGGGGGTGCTTTTCCCTTCCCAGCACGGCCATTCCAGGCTGGGAGCCCAGGTTTCCTCACCTCTCCTGGCCTGGCCCGCTGGTGGATCATCCCACAGGATCATCCCACACCCTCCTTGCAGGGATTGTCAGGGCTGTTGGTAGGTCGGGAAGAGCCAAAAAGCAGGGCAGTGGGGGAGTTGGGGGCAGAGCTTTCCCTGGGTGTCCGTTTGCTGGCCGTGTTTGAGGAGGAGCAGGGATTTATTGTTGGGGATTTATTGTCTGAGTATGGGACAGAAGATGCAGCTCGTTGTGCTGCTGCAGATGGATTCATTGGCCTGTAGAAACAAAACCTGCCTTTTCCTGCTGGTCCCTGCCAGAACCAGCTGAGGATGGAGATCCTGAGCCCTCGGCAGAGCCCGGGGTGGGAGCTGAGGGAGCGGAGCCGTCGGATCCAAAGAGTGCCACGGAAGAGGATGGAATCCCAGAGCCTGCAGTGCCCATGGAGAGCCAGCCCAGTCCCTCACCTGTGCCAGGTAACCTGGGTCTGTCCTGCCCTGTTCCATGGGGGATGTGCAGTTGGACAGGGAGGTGTTTTATGGATTTATTCATCAGGGAGCCCGTCCCAGCCCCCTCAGGCACCGGCGCTGGGTGTGCCTGGGGTTGATAAACCTTTAATTAAACCAGGTAAACTGCAAGGTTGTCTTAAACCTCTCTGCTCTTGGGGGCTCCGGGAGCTGCTTTCCAGCCAGGCAATGGAAAGGACACGGGATTCCAGGAAATAAAATCTGTGAGAGCAGGTGCAGGGGCTGGACCAGAGCCCGGGAGTTCATCGGGGCGGTGAAGGGGCTGAAAGCCCCCAAAGTGGCTGCAGCCCCCTGAGATTTCTGTGTTTCAGCAGCCAGGACAGTCCTGGCAGGAGTTGTCAGTGTGACTTGGCCACTTGCACTGCCCCCGTGGATCCAGGCTCTCAGGGTGCTCTGTTTGCAGCTCCTCCTCTGATTCAATCCCGTTGGATCAGTCGCTCCTGTTCTCCACGTGTTCTGTAACTCATCCAGAGCAGACTGGCTGTTAAACCTGGCTCAAGTGGGGACTAATTCTCAGTTACTGTGCCTCAGAGAGTACTGATAAGGAAAGGTCACAGAATCCTGGAATCATGGAATGGTTTGGGCTGGGAGGGACCTTAAATCCCATCCAGTTCCACCCCTGCCATGGGCAGGGACACCTCCCACTGTCCCAGGTTGCTCCAAGCCCCGTCCAACCTGGCCTTGGACACTTCCAGGGATCCAGGGGCAGCCACAGCTTCTCTGGGAAATTCATTCCAGTCCCTTGCCATGCTCACAGGGAAGAATTCCTTCCCAATATCCCACCCAAATCTCCATTTTCCCAATTTGAAGTCATTGCCCCTTGTCCTGTCCCTCCATCCCTTGTCCCCAGTCCCTCTCCAGCTCTCTTGGAGCCCCTTTAAGCACTGGAAGGGGGTCTAAGGTGTCCCTGGAGCCTTCTCTTCTCCAGGCTGGACATTCCCACCTTGGACCTGTTCTTTCTGGGAGCATTTCCGTAGCACTGTCTGTGTCTCACCAGTTTGTCACTGTTAAACATTTAATATTGATTTTTCACAAGGGGTAAAATGCGATGCAGGAAGTTCTTAAAGCTCTGAGGTGTTTAAAGAAACCTGAACCACTGAACTGCTCCTTCCCTGTTTTCCAGAGCCTCCAGGCACGGGCACGCCGGGCGAGGAATCCACAGATCCAGCCGGGAAGGTCAGTGTGAGGGTGGGAATTGTGGGAACACACCTGGAGCCGTTTCCAGGTGTTGCTGTAGTGTCTGAAAACGTCCAGTTTAACCCCCTTCCTGTTTGTTTCTGGTGAGAACACACTCCCAGACTGGTTTGGGTGCGGAGGGACCCTAAATCCCATCTAATCCCACCCCCCTCCAGGGACACCTTCCAGCAGCCCAGGTTGCTCCAAGTCCCATCCAGCCTGGCCTGGGACACCTCCAGGGCTGGGGCAGCCCCACTCTGGGCAGCCAGCTGGGATTTAGGGTGGAAGGAGTGGCAGTGCCATACAAAGTGCCTCTGTGTCTTGCAGGACCTCGAGGACCTGTGTGTGGTCCTGGTTTCCAACCTGCCCGACAAGGGATATTCCGTGGAGGAAGTTTCCAACCTGGCAAAGCCCTTTGGAGGCCTGAAGGATATGCTGATTCTGTCCTCTCACAAGAAGGTATTTCCATGGGATTTGGTGGTGTTTCTGCCTGGAGGAGCAGCAGTGGAGTCTGTAAGGAGTGCAAATGAGGTGCAGGAAGCGGCCGTGGGAGACGCCTTTGATAAATTCCAGTTTTCCTTTACATGTTTGTTCTTCTCTCAGGCATATCTGGAAATCAACAGGAAAGCTGCAGATTCCATGGTGAAATTCTACACCTGCTTCCCCATGTCCCTGGATGGAAAGCAGCTCTCCATCAGCATGGTGCCTCAGTACCAGACTGTCAGGGATGAAGTGAGTGAGGGAATCCAGGGAAGCTCCCGCTCAGCTGGGGACACTTCCCTTCAGAGCAGGATGCTCTTGTTGAAGATGGATTTTAAACACTGTCTGGTGTTTAAAACAAGGGGTTTGTGCCACTGCAAACTGATGCTGTTGAATGTCCTTGGGGTGCTGGTCTGGTGTGAGAGGAGCAGAGGGGCAGGGAGGTGTTGGTTTGAGTAATAAAGCTCAAATTAATCATTTGTGGGGAGTCAGTGACTGTATTTCACAGCTCAGATCTTACCTTTTCTCTTTCTTCTTTTTAAAGGAAGCCATATTTACTGCCCTGATTAAAGATTCTGACCCTCAGGTGAGTTACTCCCAACCTCTCCTCCACATACTCTCAAATCCCTTAATTTAATTGGCATTAGTGTCCTTCCTACTGAAATGCTGGGAACTGAACTGTTGTCTCAGTTTCCTCTTGAGTTCAATGTTCCCTGGGAGCTGGGAATGAACATACACAGCATTTCTGTGCAGTGCAGGTACAGCTGAGTTAAATTGTATTTTTATTTCTGCTGGGAAAAGCATTCCCAGGCTGTTCCTGCTGGAGGGTCATTCCTTGGGGATGGAGGGTCCGTCCTTGGGGGTGGAGGGTCAGTCCCTGGGGGTGGAGGGTCAGTCCTTGGGGGTGGAGGGTCAGTCCTGGGGTGGAGGGTCAGTCCCTGGGGGATGGAGGTCAGTCCCGGGGAGGAGTCCTTGGGGGTGGAGGGTCAGTCCTTGGGGGCGGGATGGAGGGTCAGGCCCTGGGGATGGAGGGTCAGTCCTTGGGGATGGAGGGTCAGTCCTTGGGGGTGGAGAGTCAGTCCCTGGGGATGGAGGGTCAGTCCCTGGGGATGGAGGGTCAGTCCCTGGGGGTGGAGGGTCAGGCCCTGGGGATGGAGGGTCAGTCCTTGGGGGTGGAGGGTCAGTCCTTGGGGGTGGAGGGTCAGTCCTTGGGGATGGAGCTGTGGGAATGTTGGCACAGGAGCCCCCAGGAGTGACTCCAAGAACAGCAGTGACAGAAGGCTTTGGTTAAAGCCAGCAATAAACCACTTCCCAAAGGCTTGAATTCCCCATTGGGAATGTTCCTGGGGAGATCTGCTCCCTCCTTATGGTTCTCCTGGGTACAGACAAAACTGCTCCAGTTTGTTGGGAATTGGTGTTTGCAAAACACACCCAACTTCCAAATATAAAAGGTCAGACTTCTTTGGGATTTCAGGAGTCTGCTGGTGCCTTTATGTCCCTTTGATCCTCCCAAAATCCTGGGATTTATTCGATGTTTCTGGGCACTGCCTGGGGAATGAGGTGTCTCTGAGGCTCTGCTGCCCCATGAAGTGTGTGCCAAGGTTAAAGCAGGTTTTGCCATCCCTTTTTTTTTTAGGTGAACACTGAATCCATCCATAACCAGTTTGTGCACCTGGGGAATTTGCCAGATGATGGATACAGGGAGCTGGAAGTGGTTTGTGTGGGGCTTCGCTTCGGGAAGGTCGACCATTATGTTGTGCTGAAGAACAAAAACAAGGTAAGCACATTAAATAAATTCTGCAAAGGACCTTTTGGGGAGGGGAAAAAAATTAGGGTTTTCGTGGGGGAAACCTGGGAAAAAACTGAATTTCTGAGGAGGAGTGAAAATGCCAGAATTGCTTAAACTTTTGTTTTGGCACATTTCAAAGGCAGTGACTCACTCTGCTCTTTTATTCAGCTTTCACATTTTCATGTGTAAATCTAAAAATCCAACCAAAAGCTGAGGTGTTTTCAGCTTCAGGCCACGGGTTGGGACTTTTTAAAGGTGACTTTACAAAACCCTCGTGGCTGAAAGGTGAGGGGTGGGAGGTCCCAGCAGGGAAGGTGCTTTGCTGGCTCTGCTCAGGAGCAGGGAAGGGGAGGAATCTCAGCTGTTTGCAGGCTGTGCTCTGCTCCCTCCAGGCCATCCTGCAGCTGGACACCCCCAGGTCAGCCCGCTCCATGCACAGCTTCCTGCAGCAGTACCCCTACAGCATGGGGGAGCACACCCTCAGCTGCTCCCTGTCCCCACGGGGGGACCCTGCCCAGGTAACTCCTGCTCTCTCTGCCCCGGGCTCGGGGGGGGAACAGCCTGGGAACAGGGAGCTGGGATGGAACAGCCTGGGAACAGGGAGCTGGGGATGGAACAGGGAGCTGGGATGGAACAGGGAGCTGGGGATGGAACAGGGAGCTGGGGTGGAACAGCCTGGGAACAGGGAGCTGGGATGGAACAGGGAGCTGGGATGGAACAGCCTGGGAACAGGGAGCTGGGGTGGAACAGCCTGGGAACAGGGAGCTGGGGTGGAACAGCCTGGGAACAGGGAGCTGGGGTGGAACAGCCTGGGAACAGGGAGCTGGGATGGAACAGCCTGGGAACAGGGAGCTGGGATGGAACAGGGAGCTGGGGATGGAACAGCCTGGGAACAGGGAGCTGGGGATGGAACAGCCTGGGAACAGGGAGCTGGGATGGAACAGCCTGGGAACAGGGAGCTGGGATGGAACAGGGAGCTGGGGATGGAACAGCCTGGGAACAGGGAGCTGGGGTGGAACAGCCTGGGAACAGGGAGCTGGGGATGGAACAGGGAGCTGGGATGGAACAGCCTGGGAACAGGGAGCTGGGGATGGAACAGCCTGGGAACAGGGAGCTGGGGTGGAACAGGGAGCTGGGGATGGAACAGGGAGCTGGGGTGGAACAGGGAGCTGGGATGGAACAGCCTGGGAACAGGGAGCTGGGATGGAACAGGGAGCTGGGGTGGAACAGCCTGGGAACAGGGAGCTGGGGTGGAACAGGGAGCTGGGATGGAACAGGGAGCTGGGGATGGAACAGCCTGGGAACAGGGAGCTGGGGTGGAACAGGGAGCTGGGATGGAACAGCCTGGGAACAGGGAGCTGGGATGGAACAGGGAGCTGGGATGGAACAAGGAGCTGGGATGGATCAGCCTGTGCCCAGGGAGCTGGGATGGATCAGCCTGTGCCCAGGGAGCTGGGATGGATCAGCCTGTGCCCAGGGAGCTGGGATGGATCAGCCTGTGCCCAGGGAGCTGGGCTGGCACTGCCACTGCTCCCTCAGGATCTGCTGCTGGGGATGGGACTGTCCAGCAGCTGGGACTGGCTCAGCCAGTCTGTGCTCTGGGATGGAATCCTGCAATGGTTTGGGTGGGAAGGGGCTTTAGAGCCCACCCAGTGCCACCCCCTGCCATGGGCAGGGACACCTTCCACTGTCCCAGGTTGCTCCAGCCTGGCCTTGGACACTCCCAGGGATCCAGGGGCAGCCACAGCTTCTCTGCCCAAACTGTGCCAGAACCTCCCCACCCTCCCAGCCAGGAATTCCTTCCCAATATCCCATCTATCCCTGCCCTCTGGCAGTGGGAAGCCATTCCCTGTGTCCTGTCCCTCCCTGCCTTGTCCCCAGTCCCTCTCCAGCTCTCCTGGAGCCCCTTCAGGCCCTGCCAGGGGCTCTCAGCTCTCCCTGGAGCCTTCTCTTCTCCAGGGGAACCCCCCCAGCTCTCCCAGTGCATTCCTCTTTCCCGCCTTGCCCCAGCTCTCCGTGTTGGATTTCTGGAATTTTGCTGATAGTGTCTGAATTTAATAGTGCTGAAATGCCAAAAATAGGCAGGAAGTGTTGGAGCAGGAAGGGGGATGTGCCCCTGGAGCACAGGATCATTCCCTGCTGGCAGTGCCCCTGTCACAGCTTTTGCCCAGGTGTCACAGCCAGCCTGTGCTTTGGGGTTGAACTCAGGGCTTTAGTTTTGTCTGGAACTGAGGGGGAGACAAAAATGCCTGAGAAGAGGGAAAACTGATTTTTTTCCCAGCTGTTTTCCTTCACTGCATTTGGAGTCTGTTCCCTCTTGTCCATCTTCTCCATCCCCTGCCAAAGTCTGGGCTGTGTGCCTGGGAACCCAAAGGAACATGAGGTTAATTCCTCTGGAAACCTTTCAGTCAGATCCTGGAGGAAAACCCAGGTAGTTGTTAATTCCTTAGAACATACTCTTGTTACTTTGGGCACTTCTCTCTGGGATAAACGTTCACAGAAAACTGAAGGCCTCGGAATCACATCCATAAATAAAAGTGAATTCTGCTGTTCCTGATCCTGATTGTCTGCAGTGAGTTCGGGAAGTGCCTTTGGAAAGGAGATGGAGATCTCAGCACTGAGGCTTAAAGGGGTTTTTTATCGTGGTGCCTTTTTCAGGAGATATTACTTCATTTAACAGCCAATCCAGGAGTTTTTTCTGTAGGGACACACAGTCATCCTGCAGGGAATGGCTGGATTTAAGGGATAGGGACTGGCCTGGGGGTCTTGTAGGTACTTGCTCAACTTGGGGTGTAATTTGTTAGAGAAGGTGTGTGGCTGTTTGCTTAATAATATTAATAATATCAGTAATAAAAAGGAAGAGAAGGGGAAGAAGGAGGAGGAGAAGGGGAAGATGGACAAGGGGAAGAAGAAAGAGGAGAAGGGGAAGAAGGAGAAGAAAGGGAAGAAGGAGAAGAAAGAGGAGAAAGAGAAGAAGGAGAAGAAAGGGAAGAAGGAGAAGAAGAAGGGGGGAAAGGAGGAGGAGAAGGGGAAGGAGAAGAAGAGGAAGAAGGAGGAGGAGAAGGGGAAGAAGAAAAGGAGAAGAACATGTTCCCCCTGAGCTCTGCAGCCATTCCCATCCTCACAGTACAGGAAGGAAGGTGCTGTGTGGGCAGAGGAGTGTTGGACATCCCTCTCCTCCAGGTGTACCCCGGACCCAGAGCCAGTTCTGCTCCAGCCACGGCTCTGAAGGGACACAAACCCTCAGTGCTGTGCCACGGGCTCTGTCTGCACAGTGCTGGGCCATCCCCTCCAGGGGCAGCTCAGGGGATCCCTGCCCTGGGCTGGAGAACAGTTCCCTGTGCTTTGATCTCCCACATTTGGGGTGGTGGGCTCTGGAATGTGGAGCCTCTGGAAGTGCTGAACACTGACCCTGGGTTTTGCCTTTCAGGCCGAAGCTGGGAAGAGAGACCCGAAGAGAGAGGAAGGGAGCAGAGCAAGGTATGGCCTGCAGGTGTTGGGGGGTTGTGTCTCCCTTTCCTTGGAATGCCCTGTCCATGATCTGGGGGTGCTGAGCCTCTCTCCAGCCCAGCTCCATGGAAAATCCTGCTGGGAGCTCCCCCAGCCGTGTCCTGCTGCTCCTCCCTCCGTGTGCTCTGTGCATCCCTGCAGAGCCACAGTGTTGGATTGCATTCCCAACCCATGGAAAACAGGAGGAAATCCTCTTTGGTCACTGTTTTACTGCTCTGGCCAGGGTTTCCCCCGGGCCTGGCAGCTGTGTCTGGCTCCACGTGTTGGTGAGAGAATCTGGGGGGTATTTAACCCCCGAGGGTTTCTTTCATCCTGCAGCTCCTCCCTCTGTCACAGCCCCTGGCTCTGTTCTTTCTGTTTCCAAATGCTAAAAATGCACTGAAACTTCCTTGTTTAACTTATTAACGTGAACTTCACACTGTGATCCAGGTCCTGAAGTGATTTATAGAAATGTTTGTCTGCTCTAGAACACCAGGACCCAGAAACGGGGTTGGTTTGTGCCATTTCAAGCTGTTCTGTGGATGCTGGTTGTAGTAAACTTTCTGTTTGTGGAGTAACTGTTTGTTGGTTGTAGTTCTGATCATGATTTGTTTTATAAATGGATAGAGCATTACAAGTTTTTGTTAACAAATATGACTTAAATCACTTTCTGTCACTCAAACCCGTATTTCTGGAAAAGTTTTGTTGTTAAAAACCCCCCAAAAGCGTGTGATGATGGTCCTAAATTCCAAGTCATGCCATTATACTCTCTCTCTATATATACACTGCTCTATATTTTCAGACATCATTCCTTTCAGAAGTCGAGTTGTCATTCCTTATTCTGTGAAACTCCTCCATTTTGGGAACATTTAGTTCCCAAACCGTCTCTTCCTCTCAGCTTTGCAGCCACACAGGGAACCTTTTTGGTTCCAGCCAGGTGGGCTTTAACTAGTGCAGTTAATTCCTGATGATCAGGCGACTCTTCCCTGAATCCCAGCCCCTGCTGTGGCTGCTGAACACGTGGAAAGCTGCCCTTTTCCCCTGCAAATTCCCTACTGCACACGTTCTCCTTGGCTTCTCCCTCTGAGCCTTTGGGGCTCCGTTGCTTTAGTTCATTTCATAAGAAGCAGAAAACATCTTAAATATTGTTATGGACCCGAAGCCCTTCCCTGTGTTTCTGGAGAGGGAGGGGTTAGTGAAATTCGGGGAGCAGAAGGGGCTGAAGAACCTCTGGAAGTTCCCCTGAGCTGGGAATTCCTCACACTTGGTTTGAGCACTGATGTGCTTTCCTGGCTGCCTTTGTTTGGGATTAGTTGTCCTGGGCTGGGACAGCTGGGGGTTCTTCCCCAGGCTGTGACTCCTGGCTCATCCCACTGCTCCCTGTACTCCTGGTTGGCTGGGTGTGCAGCAGGACATGGCCCAGGCTCTGTGCTGGGACTGGGTGTGCAGCAGGACATGGCCCAGGCTCTGTGCTGGGACTGGGTGTGCAGCAGGACATGGCCCAGGCTCTGTGCTGGGACTGGGTGTGGAGCAGGACATGGCCCAGGCTCTGTGCTGGGACTGGGTGTGCAGCAGGACATGGCCCAGGCTCTGTGCTGGGACTGGGTGTGCAGCAGGACATGGCCCAGGCTCTGCTGGGGCAGGGGCTGGATTCACCCCTCACATCCCTGGGCAGGCAGTGCCTGGCAGTGATCCATTGGTCCTGGATGCTTCCTGGGGGTCCCTCCTGTCCCTCTGCCCATCCCTCTCTGCCCCTCAGCCTGGTCTGAGCCCACGGGTGGGTTTTGGGCCCCCCAGGGCCTTGGGAAGGCCCAGGGTGGGCTTTGTCTCCCCTCAGGATTCGGGGGGCGATGCCTCGCTGTGACAATCCAGCTGTGCTGAGCCCTGTGCTTGGGGTGTCATCCTTGCTCCCAGACACTGCTCCATCCCTCCAGGAGTGCCTCAGCAGAGGCTGTGAGGGCAGGGCAGGGCTGGACCTTTATTTAATTCAAGTCTGACCCTGGGCCTGGATCTGCACTTGGGGCTCTGCTCCACAGGCAGGGGAGACTTCAGCAAATCCCAGTGGAAGATGCTCAGACAGAAGAGGAAAATCCGTGGGCACAAGCAGAAATGTTTCATTGCTGTCAGAATCCCTTCTGTGTCCTGGCTGAGGGGGCCCAGCCCATGGAGAGCAGAGGAGGGACTGAGGGCAGGAGTGTCCCCAGCCCTGCTGCCCCTGGTGACAGGCAGGGCTTTTCCATCTCCAGTGTTACACTGGTGCTGGGAAGGGTCTGGGAGCAGAATTCCCATCCCTTCTCCTCTCTCCGTACATTTTGTCTCCATACCCTCCCTTGGAGCTGGTGTTTGCACCAGCTGAATGGATTTACCTGTTCTTGCAGAATCTTCCTCTTCTCACTGAATCTTCCTGTTGCTCCGTGTTTGTCTCTTGTCTCCTTATCCCCCAGCTTGGCCACTTCCAGGCTTAACCCTTCCCTGAGCTGAGTCCATTCTGTCCAGCTCCATGCCTTGCTGGGGGGTCTGACTGAGCTGGGAGGTGCTGGATGCTCCTCTGCTGGAGCTCTGTGGGATAACAGGCATCTCTAACTCCAGTGTCTCCCCGTGGGGGAGTCTTTCCTTCAGAGAACACAAACACCCGTCATGTCTCTGGGAGTCCTCTGAGGAGCTCCCTGCTCTGGGTTGGCACCCTGGGCTGTGTCACCCGGGGCTGGCAGTGGGTTATCCAGGGAGAGCAGAGCCCAAAGGAGCCTCTGTGCCTCTTGTGCGGGGTCAGCGTGGTTTAAACCCAGAGCAACCCCTCCCTTCCCAAAAACTGAGCCCAGCCCCAAACCTGCTGCTCCTGGCAGAGCTCTCTGGGCTGCTGACTGCCCCGTCTGGAGACAGAGCCAAACTGCTGATTCCTCAGTCCAGGGGCACTGGAGCTTTGTTTTCACTGTGCATTCACTCTCCCACTCCGGGATGTAAATTTTGGGGGGCCATGTGAGCCCTGAGGTCCCGGGGCACTCCTGGCACGGGGCCTGCCCACAGTCCTGCCCACAGCCTGCCCTCGAGGTGCTGAGGTGAGTTCTCAGCACCATCACATTCCTCACCTCACGTTTGGCAGCACCAGCCCAGTTCCCAGGAAAGGCCCCGCCAGGAGGGTTCTGTGAGTGTGGAATTCTCAACATGGTTTGATTTCTTCTGTTTCTTTTAAATGCATTTAGCGCTGGCTCGAAAAAATCTCCCGAGGGATCAGGAGTGGTGCCAAGAGCAGCTGCTGATCCGCCAGGAGAGCCCAGGGGGGCAAAGAGAGGAGCCACTCCCGCCTCCAGTGGCACGGAGGAGATCCCAGCGGGACAGACGGAGCCCCCCGAGCCCCAGCCGGGAGGAGCAGCGAGGGAGTCACCTGGGAGCCTGGCCCGGGCGGCTGTGGAGGACGTGGATACTGGGATTGGTGTTCCCGTGAAACCTGCTGGCACCAAAACACCTGGAGAGAGGTCGGAGGAGAAGCCGCTGCCGCCTTCCAGTGCGGGGACGGAAGAGGCTCCTAAAGGTCCTCCTGAACCAAAGCTGCTGGAGAAGGGAAGCAAGGAGGGGGATGAAGAGTCGTCTGCCCCTGCCATGGAAGCACTGGGATCGTCCAGCAGGGCTGAGGGGGATCCAGCAGGGCGTGGGGTGATCCCAGCAGCCGGGGAGGCAGCGGGGGCCAGCCCTGGAGCAGTGTCCCCCAGGGATGAGGGGGCTCCCATGGACACAGTGTCACCTGCTGTCACCCAGCCAGCCAACGAGCTGGCTGCTCCTGGGAAGAGCCCTGTTCCTGAGGCTGGGAAAAGCAACCCTGAAACGTCTGGAGCTCCGGTGGCCGAGAGGAGACCTGTCCCTAAAACCAGGGAGGCCCCAGGGAAGAGACTGGATGTGGCTGGAGCAGAGGAGGGTGTGCTCAAAGCTGGACACGCTGCGGAGGAGAACCCCGGGAAGCTCTTGGGCAAGGCTGGGGCAGAGCTGGAGAAGCAGCTTGGAAAAGCAGCAGCCAAGGCTGGGGCTGCTCTGGAAGATGCTCCGAGTGCCGTCGGTGGGAGCAACGCGGGAAGTTCGGTCAAAAGCCACCAAAACAAAGGGACGGGAGCGGCAAACCCCGACAGAAGCCACCCGGGAGCTCCACTGAACCCCTTTTTGTCCCTCAAGGAGCCCGCTGTGGGTAAAACCCTCCTGAGGGCAGTGGTGTCTATCCCGGATATCTTCAAGGCCAGGGCCCCAGCGAAGAGCAGCGAGCCCTCCCCGGGCAAAGGGGGGGAGCAGAACCCCCCCAGAGCCGAGGGCCAGGCAGGGGGGGACAAGAAAACCCCCTCCAAAGCAGCCCAGCCCGCAGCAGGGAGCGCCCAGGGGAGAGGGAGCGGCAGCTCCGGAGTGGATGGACAGGGAGGCAGTGGGAGGAGCTCATCCCAGCAGGAGAAGGACTCCCAGGTGGAATCTAGGGCTGGTTCAAAACAGAGCCAAGAGGGAGAGAGTGGAACCCCCGGCACGGAGGAGGACCCCGGCAGCACTCAGGTGAGAGGCAGGAAGGTCCCCGTGCCGGCACTGACTCCGGGCTTCTCCCAGCCTGGGACAGTGGCTCCATGTTCCCCTTCCCTTTTCCATAAATCCACACGAGCTGACGGGCGGCCGGTTCCTTTTACCTGCCGTGTGTGCAGCACGAGGGTGGAACTGGTGGGAAAGTCCTGCGGAGGTGTTGTGGAAGTGAGTCGTGGCTGTATCCTAACTGTGTGTCCTCGGAGTGGTTCCGCATGGGAGCTGAGCTGTGTGTCCTCCGGGGAGCTGGGGTTTGCTGTACCCAGTCCTGCTCGGGCACTGGGAGCTGGGGTTTGCTGTGCCCAGTCCTGCTCGGGCACTGGGAGCTGGGAAGAGGCTCCTGAGGTGTCACCCGTGGTCGGTGGCCGGTCCCTGGAGCAGCAGCTCTGCCGAGCCCGGAGCAGGAGCAGCCCTGGGGACATCCCAGAGCAGCTCCTCAGGGCCAGGACTAGCCGTGTCTGGTGGTGGGTTTGGTCTCCTGGGAGCGGGGCAGGGGCTGACCCCGTTCCATGGGAGTTCCACTCTCGTTTTGCAGGGTCCTGGTGGGGACAGGACCAGTGGCGCTGGCAGCAGTGGGAAGCAGAAGGAGGTAAGGATGGAACCATGGGGGGATCGAAGGTGCAGAGGGTATTGATGTTCCGGGCCAGGCTGGACAGGGCTTGGAGCAACCTGGGCTGGGGGAAGGTTTCCCTACCCATGGACAGGGGGGGCTCTGGGTGGGATTTCAGGTCTTTTCCAACCCAAACCATTCCATGGTTCCTTGACCCCAGGCCTGGGTGCTGCTCTCAGGAATCCTTCCCCACCTCCCACGGAGTGGGATCACCAAGTCCCTGCCCTTCCTGCACCCAGTGCTGGTGCCGTGGGCTCTGGGATGCTGGAATTGCTTTGGGATCTTCCCACGTGCTGGGTTTCCCCCCAGATCTCTCAGTGCCGGTGCCGTGGGCTCTGGGATGCTGGAATTGCTTTGGGATCTTCCCATGTGCTGGGTTTCCCCCCAGATCTCTCGGTCACTGTTCCCAGGAGCCGGGACCGCCAGGAAGGCCCGGCTGGGATCAGATGCCATGAAATCCTTCCCTGGGAACCATCTGGCCCTAAAGCAGCACCCAAAGCTGCCCCAGACCTGTTCCCAGCCCGTGGTGTCCAGTCCCTTTTCCACAGGTGGCCAACGCTGCCAGGCTGCTCTTCCCAGCCCGGGCAGTGTGGGATGCTGTCAATTGATCCACTGGGATTTCGCAAAGTGCTTTGGTTTCCTGAGTTAAATCCGAGTGAAATCCAATGAATTAGCACAAGACTCCTCCCCCGTGGGACTGAGGGCCTGGACAGTTTTCCCTGCCCTCCAATGAAGTTGGTTTTTCCCCCTGCAGGCAGGCTGTGGCTGTTTCTCCCGAGGCTGTGGGCGGGGGTGAAGTTGACTGTTACCTTCTCCCTTTGACACTTCCCAGGAAGAAGAGCTGTTCCCGTTTAACCTGGACGAGTTTGTCACCGTGGACGAGGTGATGGAGGAGGTGGAGTCTCCGGTCGTGCCGCGGCGAAACCCCCCCAGGGGCAAGAGGAAAGAGGGGGCCAAGCCCAGCCCGTCGGAGCCCGCGTCCAAGAGGAGGAAAGGGAAGAGCTCCGGGGCCAAGGGGGAGCCGTCCTTCGTCACCCTGGACGAGATCGGGGAGGAGGAGGACGCGCCCGCCCCGCCGGGGGACCCCCAGGGGCTGCTGGTGGTGGACGAGGTGCTGGAGGAGGAGGAGCTGTCGGAGGCGGTGAAGGACCCGCAGGCCCTGCTCACCCTGGACGAGATCTCGGAGCAGGAGGAGCCGGGGGCCCACAGGGACCTCCCCCAGCCCGCGTTCAAGGAGCGGGACCTGAAGGCCGAGCCCCTGGTGACGGTGGATGAGATCGGGGAGGTGGAGGAGCTGCCCCTGAACGAGCCCGCCGAGCTGGGCGGCGAGGAGGGCAAGGGCGGCGCCGCCGACTTCGCGTCCTCGCAGGTGCCCGACGACCCCACGGCCCTGGTGACCGTGGATGAGATCCAGGAGGACAACGAGGACAACCCCCTGGTGACCCTGGACGAGGTGAACGAGGAGGAGGACGATTTCCTGGCGGATTTCAACCACCTCAAAGAGGAGCTGAACTTCGTCACGGTCGACGAAGTCGGGGACGAGGAGGAGGAGGAGGAAAACGCTTCCCCGGGGAAGAGTGCACACAAGGAGGAGGATGAGGAAGACATCGTTGCTGTGGCAGGACCAGAAGAAGAGGAAATCGCTGCCAGTGCAGGACCAGAGGAGGAGGACATTGTTGCTGTTGCAGGACCAGAAGAAATAGGAATTTTGGGGGATCCGAATCCAGAAGAGGAAATCTCTGCAGTCTCCAAGCCAAAAGGTGAGGGACCTCAAGGCCAGGTTGGAGGGGGCTTGGAGCCCCCTGGGCTGGTGGGAGGTGTCCCTGCCCATGGCAGGGGTGGGATCGATGGGCTTTGGGTCCCTTCCAACCCAAACCATTGCAGGATTCCCTTCCATTCCAACGTGCATTTCTGTCTCCAGCAGCTCAGCTGGGATCAGGAGGGGCAGAACCAGAGCCCAAGCAGAAGAAAGCGACTGTTCTGGGTGTCCCCAAGTTGCAGAGCACTCCCAAAGGGAAACCCAGAGGAACCACCCCAAACTCTCCAGGCTTTCCTGGTAGGAAGGACTTTCCTGTCTGTTTAAAACTCCTTCCGTGTCCTACAGCCACACTGAGCCTCGAAGTCAGGGCCCAGAATCCATGATTTTTGTCCTTTGCTCCTCCAAATCCGTGTTTAACCAGTTGAAAGCTCAACAGGGAAAGTACTTTTTTCCTAAAATTTACAAATACAGGCAAATTTATTGATGGTCAGCACAGGGCAGTGGGATACCTCCTGAGCGTTCCCATCCTGGGACGAGTTTTATTCCCAACTTTCCGTGCCTAGGAAGGAGGGAACTGCTGACACAGCTTTGAAATGGGGGTGTAGAGATGTATTCCCTTTTTTTTTTTAATAAGATCCTCCTCTAAATTCCTTTTCCATAAAACACTGGAACCGGAAAAGGAGTTGCTGGGAACATCTGGCTCCTGGTCTGATGGCTTGGGGGACATTCCCTGGAAGGATGGGGCTGGTGGGACACTGCAGAGCCACACCTGGCCCAGGAGTTGGAGATAAAACACTTCAAAGGCCAAAAGATGCCGAGGAAGTTGCAGGGACCTTCGG